CTTAACCTGGATGGTGAATTCACACGTTTTTATTATTCTTTAATTTTTAAACTTTGAAATAGACTGAGAAAAATGGCAAAAATAATACAGAGAATCCCCATATGCCCTTCATCCAGATTCTCCAAATCTAGTATCTTACCCACTTGCTCAATCGTTGTTTCACCACATGCATTTTTTTGGTATTTTTATTTATTTTAAAATGGACAGAAAATTGTATATATTTATGGTGTACAGCATGATGTTTTGACTTATGTATACACTGTGGAATGACTAAGTCAAGGTAATTAACACATCCATTATGTCACATACTTATCAGTTTTTTGGGGGACAGAATGTGTAAAATCTTCTCTCAGCAATTTTCAAGTATACAATGCATTTATTAACTGTAGTTGTACAACAGATCTGAACTTACTCTTCTTGTCTAACTGAAATGTATCCTTTGACCAACATCTCCCCAATTTCCCCTTTCCCCTCGCCATACATAAATTTACATATGCTAATTTTTCAGGCATTTGAGAATAAACTGCTTACACGATGCATTCTTACTCTTAAATTTTTCAGTATTTCCTATAAACAAGGATATTCTTTTTCATAACCACAATGATCACGATTAGGAAATTAGTAGTACTAACATTTAATCTACCCACTTTAATAAAATGTCACCGATTTTTTCATTGCCTTTTACAGTAAGAGACTAAAATAATCTTATGAGAAAAAATTGATTTTTGAAATAATTCATTTTTTTCTGTTCCAAGATCCAATCCAGGATCACATGTTGCATTTAGTTATCATTACTCGTTAAATCGCATTAATTCCTTCAATCTGGAACATTTCTTCAGCCTTTGTCTTTCCCGACCCTGGCATTTTTGAAGAGTATAGGCTGTTTATTTTAATAGGGTGTCCGTCAATCTTGGATGAGAAAACGTTTTATATAATCTTTTTAGGTCTTACGTATCTCACAGTTAAAAAACGAGATGCAACTCGGTAAGAAACAAAATGAACCCAGAAGCAGAAAATTTCAAGAAGCACTTTTAGCAAGAAATCAGTAAAACAAGCCGATTTATGAAAATTCTCATTGATTTTTTTTTTTTTTTAAACAGCTTTTTCCTGATTCTAAAAACAGAACAGTACCAAGACAGAAAACCAGTTAAAAATGGAAGGCCTCTCCCGTGCTAATCGCCTGCACATTCTCTCGACTCGGGAAGGATTCTGCCAGAATCAAAAACCTCTCCCCTCACAAACTTTGCTTACTCGCAGGCGCCATTTTCTACCTCTTAAGTACCACCTCCCCTCCACAGTCGTCCCTGGGCCTCAGACCACGCCCCTCGGCTCACGTCACCAGCGCAACCTCGTTCCCAGGCTCCAGGCTCCTCCCCCACGCAGGTCCCCGCTCCCTCCCTCAGACCGTTGGGCTCTGCGCCGCTCTTCTGCTGACGTCACAAAGCTCGCCTCGTTCCCAGCCGCTCCGGAGCAATCCGAGACCGCTCCCCGCCCCCACAAGCTGTATTTCGCAGCGCAGGCCGCGCCCCCGCCTTATGGCGCAGAACCCACCTTCTTCCCAGATTCCTAGTTTCCCTACGCAGGCCCGGCCCCCTCCAGGGCCTAAACAGGTCTCATCACAACAAACCCCATTTTGTTCTCAGGCGTCAGACTGCACCACACAGGCCCCGCCCCTTTTCTAGACGTTGCGATTCATTCAAAGGCACTTCCCCGCCCCTTTAGCCCGCTGTCCCGCCGGCCACTACCCCGCCCCCGCACCCCGCCGCAGCTATCCCACGGCCCTGGGCCGCCGAGTTCCCAGCGGTTGTCAATGCCCCCACCGTCCCCCCTGCCGAGGCTCCACCGTAGCCCAGCCTCACCAGCTTTCGCCGGCACGCAGTGGACGTTCTCGTCCACTCTCGCCGTTTTCTATCTGGCGCCACTGGTTGTCTAGGCCTGGCAGTTCCTCACGCTGTGGCTCTCTATCTTCAGCCACTGCCACTGCCGCCGCCGCAGCCGCCGCCGCAGCAGCTGGATTCGCTGCGACCGTCGCCATCGCCGTTCGTTCTCTTCTACAGCCAACGCAGCTGTGCGAGATTGGAAGACGCCCCTCAACAGCCACTTCCGGATTCTAGTCCCGGAAACGGAAGCAGAGCCCCCCCAAACAGTCGCGGGACTACTGCCATATTGGAAATGGCCCCGCGCTCAGACATATCGAAGGGCTAGGTGGGGTAAAATCTTCAGTGGGAACCAAGAAAGACAAAAGTGCCTTGTGGGGCTCTAACGCCGTGTAGAGTTAGGGCACAGGTGGCATGAAAAGTGAAGGCTGAGGTTCCCGAGGTGGGCGAGGACCTTTACCCTGGGAGGAGCGTTTTTGTTAGCCTGATGAGAATGCCTTTCATTGTACTACCCGTAACCATCAAAACCCAATGTAAAAGAGGTTTCCACCTCCAGAGAGCCACCTAGGCCTGCGGGCCATTGTTTCCCTTTTCTGGAACTAGATTTATTCACTAGCCAAGGTGTTAAAGGCAAGTCAGCCCCAGGCCGTATGTTTGTTGGAGTCACAGCAATCATAACTAACAGTCCGCCCAGTTTAAGTGCTTCATTGGACTAAAATAGTAGCCTCAGGCAGCAGATACTGTCCTCGTCACCCATAGACGACAATAACGGCACTGGACTCTGCTAGTAAATGGTGGAGCAACAGTTCAAACTTGAGAAATCTGGTTCCAGAGCTGTGACCTTAAACACCAGGCCAGCACACACATTATCCAACCGCGTGGTTCCAGGCTGTCTACCGGTCCAAAAATCCTCTTGGGGGTTCACAAAGTGAAAACTATTTTCACAATACTTTTTCACTCTCATTCTCTCAGGGGTGTACAGTGGAATTATCCGGAGGCTTCCTGAAAAAAACTCTTTTGAATCTCTTCAACTTTTAAGAACATAAAGGAATCCCAAGACCCAAAGTTTGAGAACCCTTGCACTAGGCCAGGCTCCCTCAACCTCAGCACTACTGTCATTTCTTTGTTGTGGGCATTGCAAGATGTGTAGCAGCATCCCTGGCCTCTACCCACTAGATAGCAAGTAGTACCCCTCAGGACTATCAAGTGTCTCCAGACATTACCAAATGTCCTTGGGGGAAAAAAATCTCTGGTTGAGAACCACTGCACTAGGCTATGCTAACCTCTTCTCTGTCAGGGCTGCCAGCCCTGTTGGTGATGACTTTAATTTCAAACCTCCCTCCCCCCACCTACAATCTCATAATTTACCTATTTTCAGTTAACCTCTGTGGGGCAGGGATGTGTCATTATTACTGTGATTCCAGTCCCCAGCCTAGACCTGGGATAGATGAGGGGTCACAACCCAGTTGTGTAAACTCTGGGTGAGGAAAGGGAGCAGCCCTTTCACTTAGGGGTCCCCAAAGAAAGTGGCATTTGAGTTGGGTCAGACACATGGCAGACAGCTGCTCTTTAAGCCTAGCTGAATCCTGTCAGATTCTCTGATTCTCCCCATTGCGCCCCTGCAGACTCCCCCTCCCCATTTATCTGGGCAGCCAGGGAAATCCAAGAGACCACCTTCCCCAGCCCTAGACTGCTTTTTTCATCTTCCAGAGGCCAACCTCTACCCACACCAGTGACCCTACCACTTGCCAGAACAGTTGGGTGAATTCTAGTCCTTTTAAATCCAGCCTGACAATCTTGTCCCCCTTTGCAAGGCCCTCATTTTCCCATCCTCCCTTGCTGCGAGAAGTGGCCATGTCCTCTAATTCTAGCCAAGTGGCATGGGAAGTCTGCTGAGGAGCATGTGAAAGTTCCAGCCGTTAAAAGACAGGGAAGGTGTTTTTTCCCTGCTTGCTTTTCCATCTCTGGGGACATGGCAGTTATCATGGCACCATAAAGCTGCAAGCTGAAACATCGCCAAAGTGCTTACAAAGACAGGTGCAGTGGCTCACGCCTGTAATACCATCACTTTGGGAAGCCGAGGTGGGTGGATCACTTGAGGTCAGGAGTTCAACACCAGCCTGGTCAATATGGCAAAACCCTGTCTTTACTTAAAATACAAAAATTAGCCAGGAGTGGTGGTGCACACCTGTAATCCCAGCTACTCAGGAGGCTGAGGCAGGAGAATCACTTGAACCAAGGAGGCAGAGGCTGCAGTGAGCCGAGATCGTGCCACTGCATGCCAGCCTGTGTGACAGAGACTCATCTCAAAAAAAAAGACACAGTACAGTGATTAGAGGTCCATGAGTCCCCACCACTGGGCTTTTGTAAACAGCCACTTAATTAGGTTTACCATTACTTGCAGTATTTCCCTGGTCCTGCTCACCCCACCACTTCTGCTTGGAAAACAATCCTTGGCTTTGCCCAAGATGATGGGACTGGGGCTTGAACTCACAGGACAAAGGAAATAGAAGTCTCAACTCTCCTACCTATGGGCAAGTTCCAGGTTGTGTCACTGATCCCTGGCCTCTTGCAAACTCACCCATGCCCATGGTTTCCATTACTTCCTGGACACTAATAATAGAAATTTCCAGCTCCATCTATGGCCCCACTGCTTAATTTGATCCATGTATTAAAGGATTTCTCTACCTACTCAGTGATCCAAAATGTACTCTCTACTGTCTTCTTACATTCCCTCCTCTTCATGGTTTCCTAGACAGATGCTGTGGTGGTCATACTGGGCCTTTGCCTCGTCTTCCCATCCATGGTTCTATTAGGTCTTTCAAACATCGTCTCTCCACTCCCCTCCCTCCACCCTCTTATCAGCTTCCTCATATTCCTAGGCAAATCTAATCTAACTCCCCTTTCTGCTTTTCAGCCCATCAACACCATTCAGCCTGCCCTACCTGCTTCAACTCCATGTTCCACTGTTACATGTGCAGTGCCCTAGATGCCTTTTTCATAGTTGTGACGTGCCCCTGGCCCACTCCCAGTGTGACAGGTGATCAGGCATGAATTCTCCAAGGTCCCAGTAGTCACCCCAGCTCGACCACCCTCCACCCCTACAGGGATTTACAAGCAGGCTTTTCACTTTAGACTTTTTAATATTTCATACAGCGATTATGGTGCATTCAGGAACCCAACCCCCCAAACCCCACTAGGAGGGCTCCCACCCCTGCCCTCCCACCCCGTTTCAGGGCCCCAGGGCTTAGGGTGGAGGAAGGGGAGGTAACCACCCATCCAGGGACTGACCCTGGAGACTGTCCCTACCCTGCCTCACCCTCCCCCCAGGGGATAGGGGGCAACACTTGGGCACAACCCCTCACACCCCCACCAACCCTCCTTGTGCACACACATATGCACACTATGGCTCCTTGCCAAGCTGGTCAGTTCCTGGCAGGGCCCCTACCCAACAGCACCGCGTGGGATGGGAGCAGGAGGGCTGGGCTGGGGAGACCCTGAGAAGGAAGGAGGCCCCAGCTACGGGACTGCAGGAGGGAAAGAGTGGGGTCCCCCCACCTTGTCCATTTCCCAGAGTCTCTGGTAGTCCCTAGATCCCCCTGCAGCTGGGGATGGCAGGCGGGGGTAGGAAGCTGAGTGGCCGTGGCATGCTTTCCCATAGCTGATCCCAGGGTCTGGTGATGATCAGGGTTCCAAATAGGGATGTGTCCCTGTCTCTGAAAGGCTGGGAGCAGGGCTTCATTGCACAAAATACTGTGGGAGGGCCACACGCAGGGGGTGGGGCCCAGCCAGTCTGTATAGAGATATTGCATTTAAAAAAATGAAAACCTCATTTAAAATAATAAAAAAAAAAACAATGAAATAAACAACAAAAAAAAAAGGCCCACATAATATGAGGCAGGTGGGGCAGGCAGGAAAGCAGGCAGGGACACCTCAGACTCAAGGCATTGTCACCATCTTGTCTGAGTTGAGATCCCCAGCCTGGACTAGCTCTCGACCCCTGGCTGGCCGTGGGGTAGTGGTCCTGGGGGATGGTATGATGAGGGGTAGGCCTGGCCTCAGTGTGGGAGGCTGGCACGGCCATGCTGTCCGCCGGCAACTACCAAGACAGAGACAGACAGACCAAGTGAAGGAGTGATGAGAGCTTTGTTAGCACCCAGCAGACAGGCCAATAGGTGGGTTGACAGGCCAATGGTCGGGTGTTTGGGCAGGCAGCAGGGGACAAGTGGGCAGGCGAACATGGCTCAGGCAGGTAGGCAGAGAGTAAGCAGGGAAGATGTAGTTGGGGGCTGCCCTGTGAGGGGTGTGGCATCCCTCCAGCCACTGCCTGCTGGGGCCTCGGTCTGTGGCTTAGAACTCGGTGTCCACCACGCGGAAAGCTGGCCTGCCTGCGGGGGAAAGCAGAGCACATGGCTGTTGGTGGGCAACCAGGTAGGTGGGTGGGGCAGGGAGCAAGACAAGGGGCTACACCCACCTGAGTCAGGCATTGATGAAGACCGAAGGCTGGCCTCCTTTTGTAGCTGAATCTCCTTTAGTGCAAATATGGAAGTAGCTACAGATGGGGGAAGACATCGAAGTAGGGGATGACCCATGAGGTCATCTAGGACCAGCCCCACATAACTCCACTGGAGGAATTAGAAAAAGCTGCCCCTTCTTTGAGAGGATTGACCTTCATCTGTCAAACAATTCCATACACAAACCAGCTACAACTAGGGACGATGAAATACGGACTATTACACGACACAAAGAAATCAATATTAATTTTGTCAAATGGATTATGGTATTGCAATTACCACCTGTAAAGTCTAGGTGATGGGTGGTGTTTGGGATTTGCTTTATACATTAATCCAGTAAGGAGATAAGGAAAGTAGGCAAATTTTTCCGTAGGTTTGATAATAACTGTTTTAAAAAAATCTTTTATAGGTATATGCTGAAATGAGGGATAAATGCTATGATGTCTGGGATTAGATGTGATTGAAAATAATCAGAGAGAATATAGATAAAACCAGATTGACCACTTATTGACTCATGGGAGTACTTAGGGACTCATCACATTCTTTTGACTAATATATAAATACATATATTTGAAAATATCCATATTAAGAAGTTCTTAAAAGCCAGATATAAAAAGAGAACATCACATATGATTCTATTTCTATAAAGTACAAAGACAGAAAAAACTTATCCTTGCTGTTAGAGGTTAAAACAGTGGTCACCCTTTGGGAGGGGGCTGGGAATAACTGAAGGAGATGCAAGAGAGCTGGGGGCGAGGAGCATCTAAGATTCTGTTTCTTGACTTTTGTGCTGGTTACAAGAATGCGTTTCATTTATGAAAATTCATACTTATGATTTGTGCATTTTTTTAGCATATATAAGGAAATGTCTACTTAAAAAAGGTAAAGGACTATTACATATATTTTTATGTATGTTTGAAATTTTTCATGAAAGGTAAAAGGAACTGAAAACTAAAAATGTTTTCATGACAAACGCAACCCATCACACACGTGAACAAGATGTCCCCCCACTTAGAGGTGGCACAGCCAGATCCTATGCGACCCGCCAGCTGGCCCCAGCAGTCCTGTTTCCCAGTCCCCACACTGGCCGGTCCATTTCCCAGCTCCACTCACTGTCAGGAAGTTTGTGGATCCGCTCCCCCAGACTGAGGAAGAATGGATGTTTCATGGCATCCTCTGCGGAGATCCGATTTCGACCCTCAAACTGAGTTGGGGGGAGGTAGGGGATAGTATTGATATCTTCAATGAGTAGGTCTCCTGCCCACCTCAGACCCTGCGCCCCTGGTTGCGGGGGGGTCCTTGTTTCCCCATACCTTGAATCCCCTACCCCCAACGCTGGCCCAAGGTGGTCTCACCTGCAGCAGCTTGGTAAGGAGGTCAGCCCCGTCACTATCAAGTCTGCCACAAGGACAAGGAAACCTGCTTTAAAATGAGTTTGGACACCCTGGCCCTTAACATGCACCCACCCACCAGCCTCACCGGGGTGCGTGGCTCAAAAGGGCCTCGGCTCGGTACTTGGGGTAGTTGTAGGTCTTGAACTCCTCATTGGACAGGATGCCTGGCCACGTCTCCTCAGTTGGGGTTCCTAGTAGGGAAGAGGAGTTACCTCAAACATCTCACAGGTCTTCCCTGTGTGTCTCCACAGTGCCTTGGGCCCATGCCTCCTCACCTAAGATGCGGAAGATGAAATGCAGTTGTTCCTCCACCGTGGAGCCCGGGAAGAGGGGCCGGCCTGTGGCCATCTCATAGAAGATGCAGCCCACACCCCTAAGCAGGGAGGGCACAGTGAAGAGAGAGACAGCTTGCTGGGTGTCTGTTGTGACCAAGCCACCCCCCTTACCACATGGTCCCCGCCACACTTCCACCAGGCCTTACCACATGTCAATCTGAGTGGAGTAGTCCGTGGACCCAAGCAGGATGTCAGGGGGACGGTACCACAGTGTCACCACCTCATTGGAGTACGTCTTTGTTGGGATTGACTTGGCCCGGGCCAGACCTGGGAAGCACAGAAAGGACAGCTAGAATGAGAAGGTCATGGGCCAAGTCTGGGGGAGAGTGCAGTTGGGACCGATGGTGTTCTAGGCAAAATCTGGCGAGGCTGAAGGGAAATGAGACTAAGTGGTCATGGGAAAGTAGGAGGCTGGGGGGGCCGATGAGAAGAAGGGGGAGGCCAGTGGTACCAAAGTCAGCCAGCTTGAGCTCTCCTCTCTCGTTGATGAGCAGGTTCTGGGGCTTGAGGTCTCGGTGTAGCACCTTCTGCCGGTGGCAGTAGGCCAGGCCACGAAGCAGCTGGAACAGGAACAGCTGGGGACCCAGGAATGGCAGGCAGAGGTCAAAGACTATCCACTAGCCCGACCCCCAGCAGGCAGTGCTCCCCTCCCAAACACAGACACTGGGCCCACAGCCTTGTCACACAAAAGAGGACAGGGTCCCAGTGCCCTCCAAGGGCTCCCAGCAAAAAAAGCCAAAGGGAAAAGTCCGTTTCTGGGAGATTTGTGGGTTGGAGTGGGTGAGTGGGGGCCCCCTTGTGCCCCTGCTTCCTGCCCCACACCCACTTTCACATTGTGCATGTTGATGATGTTCCCACAATCATCCAGGTACTGCTTCAGGTCCTTGTCCTGAGGAAAGAAGAGGTGGTACAGAAATGAGGGTTATTTCCTATGGCTCCTGGCCTTCTCCCCACCTCCCCCTGGTACTCACTGCCACTCAACCTTACCAGGTACTCAAAGACAAGGGTGAGGGACTTCTCCGTGTGGATGATGTCATGTAGTGTAACAATGTTGGCGTGTTTGAGGTCCTTGAGCAGGGACACTGCAGGAAGCATGGGAGTGGGACAGGGGAAGAGTCAGGGTCCTACCCTCAGGACAGAGTTGAGGACAAGGACTAGAAAGGGACAAGCCCAGGTTTTCTTTTTCCAGACAGTTCAGGGTAATGCCTTGGAGCCACCAGCTCTAACCCACCTCACGCCAGAAAGAAGTTGTGTCTCCATGTTCCAGATGTAGAAAATAAGACTCAGAGGAGAGTATGGAGCAAGAACCTGGGATTGCAGCTCCAGGCTCATTTGGCACTAGATTTTCACAACCTGCTTTTGGTGTGTGGGAAGGGGCCTGGCTCCAACCCTCAGTACATAGGCCTGCGGCATCGTGTGAAATTGAATTCAAATTCATTCCATGTGATATTCTGACTAGAAATTGTTGCTGTAAATAAATTAGTGACTACTTTCAGAAGTGTTCTCAGAACCAAAGCTAGCAACCTGGTTTGCAATTCATCCACCTTTTATCCAAATGGGAACAGATTCCTGGTTATCCTGATTATTACCTGGATATGCGGATGACAGGCATTCCCATGAAAGCCAGAGTATTTTGGAGGGGGGGGTCCTAGAACCAGTCTTTGTTCTCATTATGGAGCGTGTGCACCATGGGGTGGATCAGGGAAGCCTGGGGCAGATGGGATGGGGGTGTGTACCTTCCCGGATGGCGGTGCACGGTGCCCCCTCTTCATGTTCCAGTCTGATCTCCTTGAGCGCCACAAGGTTGTCTGTGAGCTTGCTTTTGCCTTTGTAGACGGTGGCATAGGTACCCTGGAATATAAGGAAGTGTGACAGGAGAGATGCTATGAGATTCTAGGAGTTCCCACTGACCTCCATCCCCACCAGGGGCCTCCAGGCTGCCTCTCACCTCGCCCAGCTTGTCCAGCTTAATGTAAGTCTCCAGTTTCCCAAAGCCAATCTCAGACTGTGGGACAAAGGAAGCAGGTTGAAGCAGGCTCAGGAGAAGGGTCTGGGAGAGGAGGAGAAAAAGAAGAGGACAGGAATAGAAGACACTTACCAGGCTGACACGACGGAGGCGGCGGCTGAGTGGCTTGTCAAAGATGGGGCTATTGAGGGTCAGCTTCTCAAGGTAGCCCTCAGGTAGCCGGATGTCAGCTGGTAGCGACAGGCGCTTGTTGATGTCCTAGCAGGTAAGGTGAGAGGGAAACAGGATCATGAGCTCCACCTCCCCAGGTCCAACCCCCTTTTCCAGCTCCTTCACCAACCAGACAGGGTGTTACACACCTCAGTGGAGATCTTGCGTGGGGGATGGTTGCGCATGCGTACTCTCACTGGAGACTGCACCTCATCCGAGGATGTGGCTGAAGCCTGGTCACTCTCCCCATCAGACCCCATCTTCAAGTCCTCGTGCACAATCTCTGGTGGCAGGGAGAGGGGTAGGGCAGGCCAGGTGGGGTCAGGAACCACAGGACACCCCCTTCCCCATGAAACATATTCCATCATCACACATGTGTACACATGGCCCCCAGAGCAAACCTGGAGTCCCTCATGGAGAAGGTGATGGGGCCCAGGTACATCCAGGACAGGTTGAACTGGGGCGGGGGGGGGGGGGCGCGGTGCAAAAGTCACCTAGTGGAAACCTCTCTTCCAAGGGCAAACTGAGCTCAGAGACAGTAGCTAGGTGGTGGTGGGGGTAAGCCAAGGGCCCTGGGAAGGCAGGCCCAGAGCAGGCAGGTACCAGAGGCCTGAGGAGGCCACCATAGAGGGCAGAAAGGCAGAGGGAGCCTTGGGGCAACTGTGGCAGGCAAGGCACCCTCTGCCCCCCACCACGGGGCCTGGCCAGAAAGGCAAAGAAAGGAGTGCAGATGGACAGATAGACAGAGGGTGTTGAGAGAAGATGGGAGGGAAGAGGAAGAAGAGAGCACATGGGGGGCAGAGAAGGGACAGAAAAGAGAGAGGAAAATGAGGAATGTGGTCAAGAGGCAGCACCTGGGAAGCAACCTGGGGTCATATAGGAGAGGGAGTAGCTAGTGGACCCACCTGGTGCAGAGCTGAGTGGGCCCCGTGCAGAGCGAAGTTCCCCAGGAGCAGCACGTGTGGGGGCCTCTCCAGGGTCACTGCCACCACCACCACCACCACTCTCATCCAGGCCTATCTGCTCAGTGGCACCATTGGTCTTGTCTATGCTTCGGCTACCTCGGAGTGTCATTGACAGCTGCCGTTTGATCTTCTTCATCCGATCCATGGCGATCTAAGCAAGGGGCAAGGATGGAAATGGGTCTCATATTAGCATTTGCTTGATCACCATGGGTCCCCTTAAGCCCACAACCTAGCAGGGAGCACTGACATGAACTTGTCTGTGCTCACTTAACCACTATGGACCCCCTAGGGCCACTCAGGATTTCTGGAAACCCAGCATGGTCAGGGATCCTTGTCAATACTTGCCCACCCACACTGCCAGCCCCCAGGGTCCCTGCTCCTAAGTAGCCCACCTGAGTTCTTGGATTTAGGTGGCTGACTGAGGGCAAGGGCCCAAATGATGGATTGTTGGCCTCTAGGGGAATAGCCCCACTGCAGGAGAAAGCTCCATAGCAGATCTTCTCAGGTACAGACGCAGTGATGGGGCCAGCCATGGGTGGAACAGGGCGTTGGCCCAGAACTGAGGGATGGATGACATGGCCTCGAGCACGCCCGTAGAGTGGCATGGTTCCCCTGGCACCACCACTGAAGGCCAAGGCAGACTATTCCCTGTGCCCACAGGGACCCTCCCCTCCTGACTCTAGCAATCATCGTCATGACAACCACCGCATCATCCCATTGATCTACCCAGGTGGGGGGGATTGTCAGGGTGTCCTGCCCAGACCCAACCACTGAGTGGGATTGTTGGGGGCGGGGGGGGGGGAAGATGGGATGTCTCAGTGTACACCAGCTGTTCTCAGGGCTGCCAGAAAGGTTTGATCAGGTTAGGATCCCTAGGGTCTAATCCAGACTTTTACAAGCCAGGTCACATTTCTCCTCTACTCAAGAATGTACTACATTTCTCATCACCCAAAATACATGCCCCAGTCCTCAATGTGGCCCGCAGGTCTTTACCTCATTTGCCCCTATTACTTCTGACCCCCCCTTCCCCCAACATTCCTAGTTGCTGTTCTGTAACCACACCCGGCAGAGTCCCACCTCAGGGCCTTTACACTGGTTGTTCTTGGTACCTGGAACACCCTTCCCCTAAATTTTGAAATGGCTCACTCCCCTCTCCCTTCAGGCCATTGCTCAAAAGTCACCTTTTTCACGAGGCCTCCATGAATAACCCTATTTAAAATCTCAACCATCCCGAGCTCCCTCACCTTGCCAGTTATCCCCCCAGCACTCATTACCTCCTCAGAAATGACACCACCTACTTATTGGTGGTTTCTTTAGTCTTTACTGTCTATTTCCTCACCGCCACAACTAGAAGATCAGCTCCGCCAGGGTAGGTTTCTGTGTTTAGATCACGGCTATATCCTGAGGACCTGGAATAGTGACTGACACAGAGTAGATGCTCAAAAAGTGCTTATGGCAGAAAAAAGTGAATCAGAGGGCTGAGGGCCTAGGACCAACCTCTGCTGAGGTGTCGAGTCCCTGCTACTCATTGAACAACCCTAAACAGGGTAGCCCAGGGATGCTGGCATCAATAGGAAGATGACCTAGATGGATTGCTGAAGGGAATGGGGCCACCAAAAGGCTTAGGCCAGCCTTCTTCTGCTTCCTCCTGGGCTCTGGGCCAGCAAGGAGGGGGAAAGACCTGGTTCAGGAACCATCTGGACTCACAGCAGGGCCTAAGATGGCCCTGGGCCCAAGGGAAGTAGAGCTAGATAGGAGGTCGAGGATGAGACGGGCTGGATCTGAGGAGAGAAATGGGTCATCTGCTACCTTGAAATCAGGTGCTTCCCCCAGCAGTTCCCACCCCAACTCCCCTCTGGCTGAACTCACTATCCTCAGGAGGGGTAGGGGCCAGCCTAGCAGAAAGACCTCAGATAGAGGATGAGGTCCAACCATGGAGAACCCAGGATAACGACAAAACATCCTGACCTGGGATGCTGAATACTGGACCTAAGGTGAGGAAGGTAAAGCATGGCCAACTCCCAAAGACAACCTTGTGTCCCCATATGGCACAGATACCCAATTGCTTTGCATGTTTTGACAGAGTAGGGGAGGGGCCGGGGGAGACAGGAAGTAGGGCTGAAAGGAGGATGGGGAGGGAGCCAGCAGGAGCCATGGGACCACGACCTCTAACTGGAAACCCCAAGGGCTGTACATGCTCTGGAGTTCAGTTTTTTTGGAATTTTAGGAAGATGAGGTACAAAATCTGTATTTCACATAACAAACACTCCCAGAAAGGGGGATGGGGGGGCTCAGGCAAGCCCCTGTGAACAAAGATACTTGAACGTTTATATGCAAGGAAACTTAAATATCATTTCAGTTGTCTGAGTTTTTTAGATTTCAAAAAAGTGGAGGGAGCAAGAAACTGGACATAAAACCTCACCCCAAAAAGGGCACATGTCCTGCCTGACCCTTCGGATCCCCGAAAACATATACCCATCCTCAGCCTACTTTCATGCTCAAGGATACTCACCACACTGACCACTAAGGACTCAATCATCACACTCTATGTCCCGATCCCCATTGGTACATGCTAGACTCTCAAGGGGGCCTCACTACATCTTACCTGCTATCATCTCATATACCCATCAGCATTCAAAGCCCTAACACATAACATATCGCCCTGAACTCTGCCAGCACACACTCAGCCTCCTCTAAGTAACTTGCTACCACATTCTTGGGTCCCTCCCTGGCCTAGCTGCTTGCCAGCTTCTCTGTAGCACTGACCCCCCTCGTTAACATATTGTTCCCCCCTACCTGATTCTGACCTCTATTAACATGCACTTGGGGTACTCTATAGCTGACCCACATTAGCACTCAGTGGACCTTCTTCATGCAGCCCTGAATGCCATTAACATAAAGTAAACCTTACAGATAGATCTCTAACCAGTATTACCCACACTCAGGCCCCTTCATAGCTATGACCATCACTTACACACATTCCAGTCCTTCCACTGTCCTGTCCCCTCAGTCAGCACAAACTGAGCCTTCACTCAGCCCTGATTCCTATTAGCACATGCGGGCCTCACACAGTCCTGCCTCCACATTAGCGCACCCTGAACCCCTACTCAGCCCTATTCCCCAGGGACACACAAACACACTGTTCTACAATGGCCTGACCCTCATTAGTGCACATAGATCTCCATTCAGCCCTGACTCCCATTAGCACACACTTCAGCCCTCCCTAGCTGTAATCCACTTTAGCACAGCGAGATCATCACACATTCCCGTCCTCTATTTCTCTCTGCTCCGACCCCTCCAGATGTAATCCCTGTTGGTCCATACTTGGATCCCTTCATGAAAGCCCTGATCCTCCTTATTACACACTAGATTCCCTCCACAGCCATGCCCCCAAGTAGCACTCCCTGAAACCTCAAAACACTCTGGTCCCCTGCAGACACAAGGTCCCCTGCAGACACACACAGGCACAATCTTCGCTAGGTTCTGACGCTTATTAGCATATTCCAGACCTCACACTGATTCTCCCAATGGCACACACTGAAGTGCCTCTATGGCTCTAAACCCACATTAGCAACCACCAGAACTTCTTATATTATCCTGCTCCTTCTTAGTGTGCCCTCAAGACTCACATTCCCTGTGTTCATGGACACACATCTCACATCACCTTGACCCTTTGTGCACTGAGCCTCTGACAGTGCTAAGACACTTCCCTCCCCACCATCCCTTCCCAGGCCCGCAGACACACAATTCTCATCTCCCTTAGGCCAGGCTCAGGTCTTCCACCGTCCTTCCGCCATTAGATACCCTCAGGTCCCTCCTCCACTCTGTCCTCATTAGCATATACTGGGCCCCAAACTACCCAGACCTTTGTGGCCACAGGCATGACTCTACAGCCATGACCCCCTCTACAGCCATGACCCCCACTGGCGCACACGCCACACTCAAGTCCTTCAACTACCTGCCCTCCACAAACACATACTGCACTCTCACAAACCGCAGGCCCCACGGACAGACAGGCAGTATTAACACCGTCCCGGCCCTCATCGCCACGTGCCAGGCCTCAGAGCCCTGATCTCATCAGCACACGTTCTGGTACCTGTGCCATCCTGTCTCCCATAAACACACACCGGGCCTCTTTGCGGACATAACCCCTATGAGCATGTCTTGGAACTTCCTCGACATCCTACCCGCCGTTATACACCCTGGGGTCCCTCACCCGCTCCGCGCTCCGCACCCCGCCCTCCTTCCACAAGCACACACTGGGCCTTGAACCTTACACAGTCTTGAGGCTTAATGCCACATGCCCCGACCCCCGTTAGCAGCCTCCCAGTCTTTCACCACACTGTCACCCATTTCCACACCCTTTGGTCCTTTTATTCCCCCTATTCCCCATTAGCACCCACAGCACTTTCCATCCCCAGCTCCCAGGACGGGCCCAGGGCGGGGCCAAGGTCAGGGAGGCCCCAAATGACCCCCCGCCCCGATGCATTCTGGGAAATTCGCCGGGGGTGGGGGCACCTGCCAGCCCAGACCCCCGGGCACCGCCCGAGGTGGGTTCTGAAGGAGGAGGGGCAGCCCCCACGCCTCGGGGACGCGCTCACCGGCGGGGGCGCGCGAGCAACCTCAGAGCCGCGGGGCCGGCGCGGCGGCGCCTGGGGCGGCGGCCCGGGATGAGGCCGCGCGACCTCCTTCTCCTCCTGTTCGCCGCAGGCGCCCGTCCCAGTAGTCTTCGGCCATGGTTGCTGGGCCCGGGCCGCCGCCGGCTGAGGAGGAGGAGGCGGCGGCGGCGGCGGTGGCTGAGGCGGAGGCGGCGTCCCGCTCAGCCGGCCATGAGCTTGGCCGCTGCGGGCTATGCCCCCGGGCTCGTTGGCGCCGGCTCGAATCCGAGTGCTCACGGCGGCTCGCGGCTCAGAGCCGGGTGATCGCGGAGTCGCGGCGGATCCCAGGGCCGAACAGCCAACGGCCCAACCGCCGCGCGCGCCGCGCTCCGCGCATGCGCACGCAAACGCTGGGAAGGGTGAAGTGGAGAGGAGGGGACTCACCTCGGACTGTCTGTACCAAAGGACCCGTCCGCTGCGGGAGGGGACGCGGCCATTGCGAACCCACAGGGGGATTCGGCGCCGGGCCGGGGACGGCACCAGGGAGAAGTGTGGAGGCTGTTTAATACTCAGTTCCAATTTTGGCAGAAGTTTGCTAGCGCCAAGGAGAGCAGCGGCCGGTAACCTGGCGCGTCAGTCACCACTCGCTCCCCCTACTCGGTCTCATTTGGTACATCCCCATGGTGGCAAACGGGACTTTTGCAAAAAGGAAAAAGACAAATGAAGCGCTCAGTTCTAGTCCCTTGAGGTGCTTGGGGAGGAAGGAATTTTAAAGGTTCGCGAGAAGATGACTTTTCGAGGAGAGGCGGCCTGAGCAGTTATTGGCCTTTACCACCTTAGCTAGGACAGCCTATCCCCGCCCAACTGCCCCCTCCACCGCTACCTCATTCCCACAGTGAACGTGTGCAGCCCTGCCCTTTGAGGTTGTCGTCCAGCCAATCGGAGTTGCTCCCTGTGGCGAGGCCGAGCAAGAATAAAGGGCGTGGCTGACTGAAGAGGCGTGATTTCGCTCTCTACCCAACTCCGCACGCCTCCGCCCGGGTTTCATAGGTTTTTCACCGTCGGCGGAGGTGGGGTCTCCTTTTTGTTCTGAGCTTCTCCTTCACTATAGGCCTAATATTCCGCGAGGTGACTGGTCAAAATTGCTCTCAATCGGGTCTGGTCCCGCCTTTAGCCCGCCTCCCATTTCCTACAGCGGGCCTCCCGGGGTGGAAACGAGGCTGAGGAGGGAGGAAAGAGGCGGATCCTTAGAGATGCGGGAGCCACTACTGCGCATGCTTGGAACTTCGCGCGAGGCGGAGCTGCTTTTCTGCCTCACGCTAGTATTTGCATAGGCGCCCTGCGTTGGATCTTTCTGCCACTTCTCTTGTCCGCTACAGCGCCCTCCGTGCCGCCCCTCACTCTGCGGGTTTTTTTCTTTTGTTTTGTTTTGATGTCGGTCAACACAAGAAGAACACTCCGCGGTTTTATTTCCATTTTATTTATTGGGCGCTTGTTGTGTGCCAAGCACTACCAGGCCGACCTAATACCTCACTTCCTTACGCCTGGAAAACCACACTATCCCCAAGTTCAGCTCAAACGGCTGCAACCTCCAGCAGGTCTTCTGGCACATCCTTACGCTACACCCCTGTTCAAAGGCAGCGTCCCCGGCTCTTCCGGGCTTCCCTTTATGGCAGCCTTGGTCACAACAGTTAGGACTTTCAGTAAGGTTTATATTAGTGAAGATTTACCGGGCCATGATGGGAGTGGAAATATTTGACAAACGCAGAAAGACAAAAGTCCTCACCTTGGCCTAGAACAAGTCCATCACTTCTCTGACCTCATCTCTTCCTCTTCTTCCCCTGAGTCACTGCCGCCATACTAGCTCTCTTTCTAGCCGTTTCTCAGAAACAGGCACAATCCAGCCTCAGGGGCTTTGCATTTGCGGTTCCCTTTGCCTGGAATGCTCCTCCCCCACATCCACGTGCCTCATTCACTTCTTCCCAGTGCTTGCTTCAAAGTCATCTCCCTGAAGCCTTTCCTATTTAAAAATTCTTACCTGCATTGCCATCATTCCAGATCCCCAGATCGGGCTCTATTCCTCAGCTTTTAAAGAGCACTGATCAACTTCCAAGGTTCATTTTGCTTACTGTGTTAATGGTGTATTCTGGGTCTCAACCTAGCAGAACATAAACCCCAGAGCAGGGATTTGTTTTATCCACCGCTGTCTCACGTGCCTAGAAAGTGACTGGTACACAGCACACAACAAATGTTTGTTGAACACCTGAATGGCAAATAGTTTCAGGCAGCGACAAGAGAAACCGTTGTCCCACCTTGTCCTTTGTGGCCGCTGGGTGCAGGGGGCTCGGTGCAATTATGCAACCCCTGCCTGCTGAGCCCTGATCTCCCGTCTGGCTGGTGTTACAGTGGTAGACAAACCGCAGAATTAAATGGAATCAGGTGGAGGGGAAATGACTAAGATGCAACCAGGATTCATGCATGACTCAAAAGCTGGTTTTGATGGAGAAGGGTGTCAGGTATGAATAAGGTGTCAAGGAGATCCAGGAATTGTGGTGGGGAAGAAATGGAGCTGTAATGGGGGAGGTGCAGTGAACAAGGTGTCTGGAGTGTCTGCAAAGGAGCTGGCACACTAGAGAAAGACAACAGTTGTGTTCAAGCCTCAACTGCTATAGTGGTATGGCCAGTGGACTGCAGTGTGGAGTGTCTAGAGTACTCTAGAGCAATAATGGGCAAGTGCCTGTGGTGGGAAAAACTTTCCACTTGACAGCATCACCACTAGATACCAAAGGGAAAGTGCCTCTGTCCTCAATGTCCTAGTGGGGAAGAAACTGTGGAAGGATGAGATCACCCAAGCAGACAAGGCCAAGAAAATAAAATGGTCAGGAGGAGGTGGGCAAGGGCATATACTGTGCCTGGGACCAGGAACTGGCACAGGAGGCAGCAGATGTGGGCACAGGCTGTGATGGGAATCAAGCCAGTTCAGGAACAGAGTAGAAGAGTGAGGGATCTTGTTTCTGAAGTCAGGTAGAGAAACTGATGTTTGGTTAGTTGAGGGACAGAAGTATGAATGGACTCCTCAGCCACCAGGAGCCAGTACAATAGAGGAAGGCCTAGATGTGGCACCGGTCAGACTGGTGCTTTCAACTCTCTGGAGCACTCAGCCAAGACCAAGGACAGAGCATGGCAGTTCTACAATCCTGGTGGGGCTGGTGTCAAGCCTCCTGCTACCTGCTCTAAGCGAAGAACACTCCTCAGTCCCCACAGTCAGCTGTCTTCTCCAACGTAGGAGGTCAAAGATCCTCAAGGGGAATACAGGCAGACCTGGGGCTGAGGAGGGCAGCGTATAAGGCAAGCAAGGGGCTTTTCCTCTACAGATGTTCTTAGCCAAATTTTCCATAAAAATCACAAAGTATGTCTGCAGGCACTGGCATTCCTCAGACCAGCAGAGCAGTTTAAGACACCCCTGCAGCAAGGAAGTTGAACTAAGAACACCACAGGCATTCCTGGTGCTGGAAACCATAACCTATAGGGGATCTGCCATAAGGACATAAGGCATGCTGCCCATGCCCTAGCAGCCTGGTCACCATAACTTTCCTCTTCACAGAGCAGAGTTAGGACATGGAGAAGGCAAGATTTGAACCCAGCTCAAATTAATAGTCACATGGACCCAAGTACCTGCTCACTATGGCCTCACTGGTGTCTCCATCTCTTCCTAGGCAGAGAGGGCAGGAAGAGGTGGCAATTACATTTTCTTTGCCCAGAAAACTGGCAGGTGTGGTGAGGCTGAGCCCTCTGAGATACCATCTGAACCAGATAACTCCAGAAAGTCCCTCCCTTCCCTGGAACCAGCAGGGGAGGCGACGTGAGGGTTATTAATTCTTTATTAGGGTTCAGGTTTCAAACAAGGTAGAAGGCAGTGGCAAGAGGGGTTCAGGTAGGGTGATGATGAAGGAATACCAGGCTTGGCTAGCTGGGTCACTGCCAGAAGCCAAATGAGAACCCTGGGCTGGAAGGGGTGTGGAGAGGGTGGGCGAGGGCTGGCCTAGAAGAGCAGATGGGGGTCAGCGGATAGTGTATCGGACATAGGGAACCTCGACATCCTCGCCGCTCTCGTCGTTGCAGCACAGCTCAAGCACCAGCGCCCGCACGTGGCGGCCCAGCTTTCGCTTCGACACACGGCTCACAATCTCTGTCATCCTGGGGATAGGGGGTTGGAGGTATAGGGTCAGGAAGGCAGAAAGCAAGAGAGGACGGGTAGGTAAGTGGGGGAAGTGAACCGCAGTGACAGCTGGACGTTGAGGCTCCCCAACCCATACAGGGCCTTCCCCAGCCTGGTTAGTGGGCAACTCACGGCTGATCCAACCGTTCCTTGAGCTTGGCAGCTGGCATGAAGAAGGAATAGAGCATGGACACACCCTGGGACAGCATGGTGATCTCTAATTTGTGCTCTGCCTGGAGAGGAAAAGGGAACAGCAGTGTCATGGGGGTAGACGGGCCAGCAAGTCACCTTGCACACCCTGTCCCCTGAGGTTGGGTGAGAGTGAGGGAGGGGCCTTACCTTAAAGTAGTCGAGGAACTGTTTGAGGGTCATCTCCTCACCATTAGGCTGCAGCCCTTGTACCTCAAAGCGATCCCACAGTGTCCACTCTTGGTTATAGTACTGCAGGACAAAGTGGGGAGAATAAGATGGAGACCATCCCAGAGGGTCCAGCCCCCATCTGTCTCCATCCCCCTCACCCCCACGCAGACATGTTCAGTCAGATCACAACCCTCTTTTGTTCAAAATCCTCTTGTGGCTCCCATCTCGCCCTAGGCACTGAAATTCTGTTTTCTTCTTGTCTCCTACCCTCCTCAATCTCACACTCACTGCAGACTTTGAATTCCTCCAACATGCCAGGCATACCCCTTTCAAGAACTGGTCCCTCTGCCTGGAATGTGTCCCCACTCACCACCAAGCCTGCACAGTTTGTCCCCTCACCTCCTCCAAGTCTGATCTCAAATGTCATCTTTTCAGCAAGGCCTTTTCTGACCATCCCACACAAAATCTCAAACACATCCCCTTGCCCCCTGGTATTCTCCTTGCCCCCTGGTATTCTCAAGTCTTATCTTTTTTTTTTTTGAGATGGAGTTTCACTCTTGTTGCCCAGGCTGGAGTGCAATGGCGCGATCTCAGCTCACTGCAACCTCCGCCTCCTGGGTTGAAGTGATTCTCTTGTCTCAGCCTCCTGAGAAGCTGGAATTACAGGCGCCCACCACCACGCCAGGCTAATTTTTTTTTTTTTGAGACAGAGTTTCGTTCTTTTTGCCCAGGCTAGAGTTCAAGCGATTCTCCTGCCTCAGCCTACCAAGTAGCTGGGATTGCAGGCATGCACCACCACGCCCAGCTAATTTTGTATTTTTGGCAGAAATAGGGTTTCTCCATGTTAGTCAGGTTGGTCTCAAACCTCGAACCTCAGGTGATCCACCCAGCTCGGCCTCCCAAAGTGCTGGAATTACAGGTGTGAGCCACCGCACTTGGCCTCTTTTTATCCTTTTTTGATTCCAAAATCATTTAACAGGTTATTTATATAATCTATTGGAGAAATGTAACTTAGAAGAGTTCCTGCACACAACAGGTGCTCAATACATATCTGAGTGAATTCATGAATGAAGCAAGCAAAAGCACTTAAATGTAGAAGTATCCAATAAATTTTGGCTGCCATTATCATGTAGTTACTAATAATCACCCAGGGCACAATTCAAATATCCCATCTTTTCGCATGTACTCAAACAATGTGATTAATGAATAAATGAAAAAGGGATGCATAAAAAGGGTAGGTACACATAGAAACCCTCACCTGGTAACAGGGTATGAGGCAAATTAGAACCATATCTACACAGACACACCTCACCCAAACCCCCGTTCCGATGCAGGCCCCCACCTGGTGACGTGGTGCAGCAAGGGGTTCAGAGAAACCAAAGAAAGGCAGGGCCAAGTTGAGGAAACCATTCTTGTAGGAGTCAAGCTGTCTGTGCCCCTGTACAACCTTGTACAACTCCAGACACACAAGGCCAACCACGGCTGCTGTGGTCGTGGCAATGGCTGGGATGATCTTCCCTGCAATCAGCTTGCTCTGAGAGACAGGAAGGGAAAAAAGAGGGCGGTAGTTAAGTACAAGAGCCTCAGGGTCTACAGAGGGGCTGCATGTGGGTAACTCAAACCTGGAGAAGGGCGAACAT